TAACATAATCCTAGCATATATTAACATAATCTTGGCGTATATTAACATAATCCTAGCATATATTAACATAATCTTGGCATATATTACATAAACTTCGCGTTTATTAACATAATCTTGGCGTATATTAACATAATCTTGGCATATATTACATAAACCTCGCGTTTATTAACATAATCTTGGCGTATATTAGCATAATCTTGGCATATATTACATAAACCTCGCGTTTATTAACATAATCCTAGCATGTATTAACATAATCCTTGCATATATTGCATAATCCTGGCGTATATTAACATAATCCTAGCATGTATTAACATAATCCTGGCGTATATTAACATAATCTTGGCATATATTAACATAATCTTGGCATATATTAACATAATCTTGGCATATGTTACATAATCCTGGCGTATATTAACATAATCCTAGCATCTATTAACATAATTTTGATTATAAATTGACCGAATAACCTAATTTTATAAAAAGTTTCTCACTCGTTCTACAAGAATTAATTCATTGTCGCTCTTTGTCTATAGATGTATGTATATCACATATATATGTGTGTGTGTATTAGTCGAACTTGGACAGACGTTCTGACTGTTTCGTCATACACAGAAAATCTAAGTTAAACTGATCCAGTAACTTGAGTAATTTCCCAGACTTAGTAGTCCTGACACACTCCGATTACGCGTTTTTCTAAATTCCTCAGTTGTAATAAAACCCTTGATTTTACTTACAGATATTAGGGACATGATTGAAACCCTGGTTTCAACTTCTTACATTCAACCACTACTACAGCACATACTACAGGTAGTCTTCTCCAGTAATTTAATCAACGCAGCTAATAGCTAATAGTTATATCCCAGCTAATCGCTGACTATATTACACGCTATCAGTAGATACATGGATACTTATATTTAAATCTAAATATATCAGTTCGTTCAAGTTTTTGTAATCTATTTCACGATCCTCTTAGCAAGGTAGAACGTTACAAGTTACTCAGGCGTTTTTTAACCTTCTCTTTGAAGTTCTTACTAGAACGATACAGATTGATAACACTCACAGAAATACCCACCCTCGGGCAGGTATAACTGTTAGTTACTCTGGCCTTTTCTGGAATCGTCTGACAGTTCTACAACAATGTACTCATACTTGACATTCGATAATGTTCACCATCCATGAGAAAAAGGATTTTATTGAAATTTTAGTAGACGCAATTATCAATGAAAGTGCCTTGCTTTTCTGTTGCAACACTCATGAGATTTTCACTAAAGAAACACAAATAATTTTTTTAAGTTTGTTATTTGATTGTTTTATATTTGAAACTTACACCTAATTGTTTGTAATTTTTATTGTTTTATTTATTGCTCAGCTATAAAAATACTGCCTAATTGTAAAAAATATTATCCAGTTATGATTGGAGATGATCCGAGTTTTGGACGTATACATAGCAAGCCCCATTATAATAGGATACTGTTCAGGTCCAGTCAACAGAGTTGTAATCTAATACGGTAGTCATTAGATCGAACCGAGTAACTGTAAGAATAGAACTGTAAGTAAAAATGACCTGCCTGGCAGAATTAAGTACATATACTCCATAGTGTTATACCAACCAAACTAACGATCATTTCTCGTGCACTCGCAAGCTGTGTGGACCAAAATAGCAAACGATATTATGCGTTTTCTAAGTAATAACCTGATCCGTTTTTCTCTAATTTCATCGGTAATAATGTGATTATTTTATTTGTTACAATAATGAGGTTATTTTATTTGTTACAATAATGTGATTATTTTATTTGTTACAATAATGTGATTATTTTATTTGTTACAATAATGTGATTATTTTATTTGTTACAATAATGAGGTTATTTTATTTATTACAATAGTGTCATTATTTTATTTGTTACAATAATGTGATTATTTTATTTGTTACAATAATATGATTATTTTATTTGTTACAATAGTGTGATTATTTTATTTGTTACAATAGTGTGATTATTCTATTTGTTACAATAATGTGATTATTTTATTTGTTACAATAATGTGATTATTTTATTTGTTACAATAATATGATTATTTTATTTGTTACAATAATTGATTATTTTATTTGTACAATAATGAAGTTATTTTATTTGTTACAATAATGTGATTATTTTATTTGTTACAATAGAGTGATTATTTTATTTGTTACAATAATGTGATTATTTTATTTGTTACAATAATGTGATTATTTTATTTGTTACAATAATGTGATTAGGGTTAGTATTGTTTTGTCAACCACATTTTAATTTCATTAGTTACCTCCTGTTTTCGTACTTACTTAAGCTGTTACAACAGTTATTAGTTGGAAAGTTAATCATCTGTAACATATCAACTTTAGTTGTCGTGTGGTAGAAGATTTAAAACCAAACCAACATCACAACACATAAGCTTTTTTAAAAAAATCTTCTATCGTATATTTGAGGTCCTAAGTGTTTCCAATACATATACGTATATTTCAATGCAGTTTTGTATTTGTGTCGTGTTCTTTTTCAGAAAGCTTCGTTGCCCGAGAAACAACCTACACATGCATCTTTTTACGTCGTTTCTCATGAGAGCGTTGATGTTTCTTTTGAAAGATGCTCTCTTCATCGCCGGGATGGGATTTCGAAGTAACGTAGTTGTGTCCGAATCTGGCGTTCCCAAGTTTCTGGAATCCAGAAATGTATGCTGTTTCATTTTGTTTTTTTTTCTCTTTGTTTCAAGTTTATATTTTCTTCGTCTAAATTTTGTTTTGAATTGTCTTTTCGAATGTCTTAGTTCTCGTGTAGCTTTGGAAAAAAAAAATTCAATAACAAAGAAACGTTTTTTTTTCTCCGTTAGTTCCATCGGGAGGATTCTCGTCCCCTCGTGACACAGAACAGCGCCCCCTGCCGATATGGCCGTTTGTTATGAGAGTTGTTTTGGTCTGATGCATTCTTTTGGTCCATCAAGTAATATTAATGATACATTTATGTCCAGTATAATCGTACACTCGACTCTGTTGTATTCACTCTTCACAAGAGCAAGAAAAATTCAAATGAGCCAACAACACAAAATGTTTGCTTTTTCGGTCGTGGGAGCATTATAATGTGATGGTCAATCCCACTTTTCGTTGCTAAAACGTTGACGGTAGGGGTTGTTGGCTAGCTGCCTTTCTCTAGTCTATCACTTCTAAATTTTGGAGAGCTAGCACAGGTGATCCACGAATAGCTTTAGGCGAAAATCAACACACAAACAATTGTAAGAAATTGAATAAACAGAGTTGTTTAAGCATTTGTTTAACAACAAGTAGAAGCTTGAATGCACCAGTTTGATTTTCGGTACCTTACTAGTATAAAGGCTTGGTTTGATATTTCATTGGTGGTAGTGTCCAGTGTCACTGATGAGGAGTGGAATTCTTCGAAACTAGTCTGGCTCACAGCCACTCCCCCAATGAAAGAATAGACCATTCCAAGCTTTTACTTGTTGTTAAAACAAATGTTTAAACA